TATAAGGTAGGTAATTCTATCTAGAAAATCATCAAATTCATGGCAATCCTGAGTAATGGTCTTAAGGCTAGGTCAAAGGTCATTAATGATTCAACCAGGTCAACTTATACCAGGATACATTGCAGCAAATACATTGTTTCTATGGGCAAAATATGGGATTGGTATAAAAAACTATAAAAAATCATTATTTTTGAAATGTGATTAAAATAAAAAATACGACTCAGATTTTATAAATCTATAGCTCATTTGAAAGAAAACCTAAAAATAATTCGCTTGCAACAAAACTGTAAGTATCAAGGCTTACATTTTAATCAAGGTATAAATATTTTCTATGTATTTATTAACGAGAAATTTTATTGTTTTACACCTTTACCTGTGTAATGAAAATACATAGAAAATATTTATACCTTGATTAATATGTAAGGCGTGATAAACTGGATTTACTCGACGAGCTCATGATATTCGGTCAGTTTAATCAATTAAATTTATCGATATGGGCATATTGTTTGTTTTAATACCGATTATAATTGCACAATTTACTGACATGACACGATGTTCCCAACTGAGAATAGCATCGAGAAAAATATGTATAGTTTTATGATTATTATTAGTTTTTAAATAAATTGTATTATTTTTTAGGTATGTGAAAGAGCTGGAACAATTATTGTCTGGTCGCCAATACGTGGATAACGTGTTGTATGAATACGTGAATAGTATTCAACAATTCATACCAAACATCGCAACCAATGCTATACTCCATACGAAACAAGAGCTCAATAATAGACACTGTTATCGACAACTGGTCGACACTTTCCACCAAAACTGCTTTAATTTGAATCAAGTATTTATATAATGCTTTTAATATTTTGTTTCTCTAAACATATTTTATTGTTTTATTTCAGAATACCTATACCTTAAGTAAAATGCAATTATTTGCGAATATCTGCGAACATATGACAGATTCAAGTGCTGTACACAAAGTTGTCAACCAATTCATAAACCATTGCCAACATAATGTAAACCGACTACTGTATACAAGTATTGAGTAAATGATACAGTTAATTTAATTATTTGGTTTTAATTATTAAACAATTGACAATTATTAATTAACAATTAAAACTTTTTTTTGAAAAGTTTGAAAACATTTATTATATTTCAAGTGTTAGAAATTATATAATACAAATTATATTAGTAAATGAATAATTACATTTTAATAATATAAAATTCAGTTGAAATTATACAGAAAATAATTGTAACATGTTAATATGTTGTATTTAATAATTAATATATTATACTATAGTATACTTGTACAAGTAATAAAAACAATATATTATTTTATCTACTGTATAGTAGTTTAGCAAAAAATACTATTTATTATACTAGTAAATATTGAGTTAATTTAATTTTTGATAATAACTTGATACAACTTAAGTTTAGGTATTTGTCATCATAATAACATTATAATATAGAAATGAATTGTATTTAATAAATGAAACTCGCAGTCAGTTTTATTTTATGTATTAAATTATTATTGTTTTGCTAAAAATGTTTATTATTTTTTAAAAATTAATTAAATATTGCGTGATATATGACAACAGTTTGAGCTAGTTACTTATAACTCACAAAATTGCCTACAATTTAATCACTCAACTAATAAACATTATTTAACACTAACTAACTATGAATTAATATTAAGCAAGTGCAAACATATTACCCACGTTGAATTTACCGATAATGTCTTTACAATTAATATATTTGAATTAATTACTAAATATTGTCAACATTTACTGGATATTAATATTGAATTGGGATGAGATATAAATACCGAGGTGTTCAGCATGTTTTGTACCAAGTTTGATAACCAGTTAATAACTATTCGAGTTGTCCTTGCTCATTCTAATTAAACATTGTGGGATTGTGTTAAATTTAATTTTTCATCATGCTCAAATGCTACAAGTATCGAGCCTTATATCGGAGGTCAATATTATCTAACATCATTGATGCCCTTGGTAATACTTTTGATTTAAATAAACTACGTGACCTCACACTTGACAATATGTTTACTGATGATTACAAATACTTTGTTAATTTTGTTGCGAGTTATAGTCAAAATTTAAAATCAATAAATAGTGACATACAAAGTACCAAGTATAATTATAAATATGATAGCGAGTCAGTAGATAAATTGATTAAATGTTTAATTTAAAAAATTATAAAATGAATATTATACATGTTATACCAAATAGATATTAAATTTAATATATTTTTAATAAACAAATTCAACAAATTTACATTGAATACCATTTTCAATTTAGCATTTAATAATTTAGTATAAAATAAAAAATTTAATAATTTAACATTTTTATATCATAGTTGTGTTTTAAGACAGTTAAGGCCATAAATGGCTATTATCAAAATTTAATTATGAAAGTAATGTCCTGTTTCAAGCTATAGGCTGACCAGCAGTATACTGACCATAAATAGACTGATTAGCAGTTGCTTGATCAGCACTAGGTTGAGCAGCAGTAGACTCACCATACATTTGCTGATTAGCAGTTGTTTGTATTTCTACAAATTAAACAACAATATTATTACTTACTAGTATTACCATGCTATATTTTATAATAAAGTACGGTTAAATAGTGCAAAAATACAATTTCTATACATTTGTACATTTACGTTTCATAAAGCAATTAGATTTTTATTAATAAGACTAAATTAGATATTTGTTCTATATAAGATTTAGTTAACATTGAGTGTATTACCTGCAAGTATACATATGACCACGGTGAACGAGGTTATTGTTATTGCATTCATTGTGGATTAAATTTGGATTTAACTTAAAGTAATTTAGTTTTTATTTTTTTTGACTTTTAATTAAAAGCCAGACGGAAAATGTAATATAAAATCCAAATTAACTAAATAGAGTTATTTTCAGATACATGTGTTTCCCTCTATTGGTATCATAATGTAAACTGAAATCCGTGTCCACAACCCCTGTACCGATTTGTAAATTAAAAGATTCCTTTAATTTTAATTAAACATTTATTTTATTCATATTAAGTTACAATATTTAATAATTCACGTTATATTTTACATGTAAAATATTAACGCAAACTTATGAATGAATAATAATATTTTGTTTAATAAAAACTCACAATTGTATTGTCATTATATTTATAAATAAAATTATATTATCTAATTGTATGGTGTTTTATCTCATAATAAATTTACTATGTTGATTTTAATAATTACGGGATTTAAATGAAGCAGTTTATTATGTTTGGTTGTAATTATTTTATTATCATTATAATATAATGAAAAAAACTTAACAATCCTGACAAAACACATTATAATATTATATTTGAAATTTTCAAATTAAAAAAAATTAACATATATATTATACAATTACATTTTATTAATATAACATACACTCGCAATTATACCAAAAATATTAGTAATGCTATAAATTTTCTAATATATTGTATATTTGTACAAATGAACATATAGTTTATCTATCTATTATTTTTCAGCAAACTTATTTTGTTACTATAGTATAATATAAAATGTATAGCATTTTTGATAATAACTATTGATACAGCTTAAGTTTAGGTATTTGTTATCATAAAAACATTATGACATAGAAATAAATTGCATTTAATAAATGAAACTCAGTTTTGTTTTAGACATTTAATTCTTATTATTTTTATTCAAATGTTTTTAAATATAAATTAATGATTGCGTGAAATATGACAACAGTTTATAGTAAAGACAGTTTCGACCGTTTTGGAGATGATTTGTGTCAACACCTATTGAGTTACCTATCATTTGAGGACCGATTCACATATGAATGTCTGTCCAAACAGTTTCAGCGACTTATTTATAACACACAAAATTGCCTTGATATTAATTATTTGACTAATAAAAATTATCTTACGCTTACTATATTTGAAGTAGCATTAAGTAAATGCAAAAATATAACCTACGTTAAATTTAGAGACAAAGTGTTTACAAATAATAACGGCGTATTTGAATTGATTATAAAATATTGTCAACATTTGCAAAATATTAATATAGAATTGGGTGCAGATTTAAATACCGAGGTGATTGGTAAGTTTTTTACCAAGTTTGCTAACCAGTTAATAACAATTCGGGTTGTCCTTGCCTCAAATAATACAATATTATGGGATTGTATTAAATTCAATTTGGCATCATGCTCAAATGCCACAAATATCGAGGCTTATACCGGAAATCGATCTTTGTCTAACATAATAGATGGCCTTGTTAGTAATTTTGATTTTCATAAATTACGTGACCTCGCACTTGTTGACTACAAATACTTTGATAACTATGCCGTGATTTATGGACAAAATTTAAAATCATTTAATTTTGACATACAAAGTATAGAATATGATAACGAATCAATAGAGAAATTAATGCAATGTATTTCCGAAATGACCAAGCTAACAAAATTGACAATGCGCTTTGATTATAACGAGTTTATAGCTGAGCACATGCAACAAGTGAGCAATAAATTACGTCAATTAAAATTATTATCACTTAATATCGAGTCCGATGATGAAACCGATTTCGATGATATTATCAAGGTGGTCAACGAAAATTTTCGGCACATTACACGGTTCGAGTTGGAAACCAATTTTCGGCACGATTTTAGATTTGAATGCACCATGCTTAACAATTGTGTTAATTTGACACATATGGAATTAACATTTTACGAAAATTTTAATATTGCTTGCGAATCATTCGAAACTATTGATAAAATGTTCCCGAAACTTGAATATTTATCCGTAAGGTTGTATGATGTGAATGATGAGTTTCTACAAGCGTTGTCAAGACTACGTTATATACAAACAATTAAATTATATCCCTATAGTGGCTATGATGGTGAAGATGATGAACATGCAGAATTTATTACAAATAAGTGTTTAAAATTAAGGGAATTTGAATGTGAATGCTACATTTCAGATTAATTATAATAATTTTTATCTATATTTAACATATTTAATTTTAAACTATAAAGTTAATACTATATCAATTAGAAATATACCAAATCAAGTATTAAAACTTTTTATTAATATGTATGTAATGTATGCTTAAAAGGTTATTTGTTATTATGATAGGTATTTGTCTATATGTTAAAAAATTGTGTTTGATGTTCATAGGATATTTAGGTATATTATCTTAATTTAAAATAAAGTTTACATAATCAATTACTATCCAGCATTCATAAATTAATAATATTTTTAAAAAATATAATTTTTATTGATAAAAAGTTAGATATTAAGTAAATATAATTATCTACAAAAATATCGCTAAAATAAAATATAAATAATTTTATATATTTAACAATGTTCTCAAAGAATCTATTTCAAATAATGTATTTCAAATTGTAAAGTATTTCTACTTTTATATTACTAATTATTTTATTATATTATTATAATACAAAAATATATAAATAATAATCATGCCATTACCAAATAACAAATCTTTTAGCATAACCTTCATAACAATTATTGTGTTAAATCAGATTAAATATAAAAGTATAAATTGCTAAAACTTAGTAAGGTATTATTTACTAAGTTTATTACGTAATTTTAACATTTTTGCACTTTTTACTTAATACCAATAAAATATTTATTTGTACTGCTGCAATTTAATGGCATTTATGCCACTATTGATAATAACTATAGAAATAGGTTCACTTACTATAAATGTTATAATATACGATATACAGTATTGTATGTTTTCACTTGTCATAAAGAATTATTGCTTACATGTTATATATTTTTGTGATTTCATGAATTATTAAAACAAAATAAAAATCAATTATTATATAAAACATGACAACATATTATAGTAAAGACAGTTTCGACCGCTTTAGCGATGATTTGTGTCAACACTTATTGAGTTACCTATCATTGGAGGACCGATTCAGATGTGAATGTCTATCAAAACAGTGTCAGCGACTTATTTATAACACACAAAATTGTCTAGCAATTAATTACTGGACCAATAAAAATTATCTTTCGCTTACTATATTTGAACAAATATTAAGTAAATGCAAAAATATAACCTACATTTAATTTACAGACAATGTATTTACAATTAATGAGGCCGTATTTGAATTGATTATAAAATATTGTCAACATTTGCAACATATAAGGAGTAGGATTTAATAACGGGTCACTTTGGGACACTATAGTAGAATGGCTCTAAAATTTTATATAATTCAGTTGCAATCAATTTGATTTGTGGTAATAATAGTCCTAATATGTGGCTTTAATTCTGTATA